AATATGAACACAGATGGAGTTTGGGGAAAATAGACCTTGACATTTGGGATTTGTAGTTACTGGGATTTATAGCTCACCTACAATTAAAGAGCATTCTGAATCCCACAAACGAAAGAATTGGGGCAAATTTCCCACACAGAACCCCATGACCAACAGAAAATACTTAAGGCCATCCAGTCCACCTCTCTTCACCAGGGCAAGAAAATGTAATCAGAGCCCTCCTGACAAAGAGCCATCCAGCCATATAGATAGATAGATGATAGATAGATAGATATGATTCACACACAGATATAATATCATAGATTGGAAAGGGACTCCTAAAGGACAATAATATGTTGCATATTCCAGAGTAGGCAAACTCTCCACATCAACAATGACAAAGAAACAACAAGAAATACTGTTTACCCACAAGCATAAAGAAATTACATAGATTAGAAACCATTACTTTATTTTCCAGATCACCAGACTGGGCCACAGCTATGTGTGGCAGGGGATGGCTAGTCTATATAAATAAAAATGTAATGTTCGTTTGTGGGATTAACATAACTCAAAAACCACTGGGCGAACTTTGGACACTATACACCTATCAGGCCAACAACTGACCATCACTCATAAAAAACACTGGAAAACACAGCAGAACAGACTTTAAAAGCCAAAAAATAAAAAATACATTACAACGCATGTGCATAACCACATATATATACAGACACATACATACACACACAAAACACATATATACACAGTGGGCCACAGCAACACGTGGCAGGGGACGGCTAGTATTTGATAAAAGAAAAAAAAATACCAGCTTTGTTCAAGGCATTTCTAGGACAAAAAAAGAGAAAAATGCAGAACAATCCTATCTTATTTCAAGCCTTCAGAAAAGTAATAAAATAACCCAATTAATATATCTAACCAACTAAAAATGTTTAGTTTATGTGTCTTTTTTGTTACTGTGGAAAATTTAAATTGGTCAAATGAAATAAAACAATAAACAGCACAACTCCTTAAAAGAGGGAAAGGCCGCTGTATGTTCACCAGATTCCCTAGTATTGTAACACACTGAAATCAGAAGAGCTTCAAAAGATGAAGAATTACACCTTTAACTTGTAGCAACCAGACCGATCAACAGATTTTTAGCGAATTACTCAGCCATTCAAACCTGATTAAAGCATGCTTATATTTTTTGCACATATATATATATATATCATATGTCTGCCCTTTTCTTCCCGACACAATGAATGAGACAAACATTTGATAAAAGGTTAACATAAGTTTAAGAATCGTGAATCGAGGATCCGGTTCTCAAGCAAGGCAGATTGTATTTATCAGATGAATTTTATCATGTATTTCGAAGTATTGCTGCTGATTTAGGGTGAACCCATTCATTTGTCAAGAAAAAAAATCCGCAACGACAGCTAATTTTTTCCATATTTGAATTTTCTTCCACCGAATCTCTCATGAGCTCATGGTTTTCTTTCCTATTTTGTTTTCAAAACAACTTTGTGAGACTGATGGATAGTGACTATCAAACACAACCAACCGAACCTGCTGATTTGAGCCTCCCAGTCCTGGTCAAATGTACTAATAATTAGGGTCTAACTACTATACCAATTGGGAGGCCACAGTAATGCAGTAGGTTAAACCACTAAGCTGCAGAATTTGTTGGTTCGAATTCATGGGATGGGGTGAGCTCTCGTTGTTAGCCCCAGCTTCTGCCAACCTAACAGTTTGAAAACATGCAAATGTGAGAAGGTCACTATATACTGCTTTGGAGGGAAAGTTACAGTGCTCCATGCAGTCATGCCAGCCACATGACCTTGGAGGCATCTACGGACAACACCAGCTCTTCAACTTAGAAATGGAGATGAGCACCACCCCCGAGAGTCAGACACGACTCTCGGGGAAACCTTTATTTTAATATACCAATTAAAAGAAGAAATGTACTGAAGTGCCCTAATGAAGTTAAGTCAACTTAGAGCGGAGTTTCTCAACCTGGGGGTCGGGACCTCTGGAGGGGTCACAAGGGGGTATCAGAGTGGTCACCAAAGGCCATCAGAAAACACAGTATTTTCTGTTGGTCATAGGGGTTCTCTGTGGGAAGTTCGGCCCAATTCTATCATTGGTGGGGTTCAGAATACTCTTTGATTGTAGGTGAACTATAAATCCCAGTAACTACAACTCCCAAATGTCAAGGTGTATTTTCCCCAAACTCCACCAGAGTTCGCATTTGGGCATATTGAGTATTTGTGCCAAGTTTGGTCCAGATCAATCATTGTTTGAGTCCACAGTGCTCTCTGGAAGTAGGTGAACTACAATTCCGAAATTCAAGATCATTGCCCACCAAACCCTTGTAGTATTTTCTGTTGGTCATGGGAGTTCTGTGTGCCAGGACCAGTTCAATTCCATTGTTGGTGGAATTCAGAATGCTCTTTGATTGTAGGTGAACTATAAATCCCAACAACTACAACTCCCAAATGGCAATATCAATCCCCCCCCCCCAACCCCACCAGAATTCAAATGTGGAAGTATCAGGTATTTGTGCCAAATTTGGTCCAGGGAATGAAAATGCATCCTGTATATCAGATATTTACATTACGATTCGTAACAATAGCAAAACTACAGTTATGAAGTAGCAACAAAAATAATTTTATGGTTGGGGGTCACCACAACATGAGGAACTGTATTAAGATGTCGCGGCATTAGGAAGGTTGAGAAACACTGACTTAGAGCAATGGGCGAAATTCTTCCATAGCTTCATCTACCGATACAAGCCTGCTGATTATAAAATACCATTTTCTTGTTGTGAAAGGGAACTGAAAACCTTGAACAGTTACTCTGGACAACTTGACGTTTAGATTCTTTTGATATATCCTGCCAAACTCCACAGATCCTACTCTTATTCACAGAGAGCCCTTCTACACAGGGCAGAAACCCAGGAGGAAGTGGGTTTAAATAACTCGTCTCCTCTCAGATTTCTATCCCCACTCCTTCCCACAACCCCTGGGCTTTCTTTTGGGGGGGGGGGTTATATCCAACCATCCCCAGCCCCCTATTTCCTCAAAATACTTACCAGAGGAGCTTGCCAGTAGTGCAGACCCCTCCGTAGAGTACTCTTAATGCTTGAAAATGATGTGTCAGGTGGTGGGAAGGGAGCAGGTCCATTCAGTAAGTTTTTTTTGGGGGGGGGGAATTGGCTGGGGAAAGGTGTGAGCATCCTCCCACCCCTTCAGCTTCAGGAGCCCAAATAACAGGGATGGCTGTGAGGATTGACCTCAGGATCATGGAACATGGTCCTGGGAGCCAATCCCCACAGGGTCAGCATCTCAACAGATCCGGACCTTTCAGTAAGTTCTGGATCTGTTGTGGTGTTTTATTAATCCAAGGTAAACTGGAAAATCCCAGTATACTTTGGATTAATCTGGATTAACCTGAGGCATCATTTGGACACCTCATGATGGGTCACGATTTTTGGGCCTGTATAGAAAGGCCCAGGGTTTATACTAACAAACACTGTAAAATCTCTCCCAAATCTCTCATTACAGGCACATAAATCACCGCCTTGCTGCTTAAATTCTTCTAGTGTCTGAAAGTAAAGGACTGAAGGAGGTGATGACAGTGCACAGAAGACAGAAAAACTGCAGCAAAAGGAAGCTGGTGTGGATCCTCATCCTGGGTGGAACAATGTCCAGAATGTCCAGAATGGGAACAAGAGATACGAAGAGAAAACACAAAGCATACATCATGATATAAGGGAAGAAGAAGGATTTTACACTGAGCTTCACATTCTTCAGTCTAGATTTGTCATGTATCATATTCTGCAGTTGATGGTGGTTGGTAGTGGTAGGCTTGGTGGTAGGAAAGTTGGTGATGGAAGGGTTAATGTAAGTCTTAGTTCTAAAGGGTTGAGTAATCTGTAAGTAAGAGTTCATGGGTAAAAGCAATTAAGGATGGAGGTATGCAAGAGATAGGTTGCGGCTGGGTGTTTCTGGATATAAGGAGCGAGCCTTGGGACTGAGCTTTGGGAGAAAAGTATTCGTTTTATCTTGGTGGTAGATGCTGCTGGTTTTCTCCCAGGTCTGTGAATTTTAGGTGTCCTGACCTGTCTCCTGAACCTTTGGAATCCTGGAACCTTGAATCTTTGGACTGGTTTTTTTACTACGGTATAGACTCTTGATCCCTGGACTTTGTTTATTGAACTCTCAGCATTTGACCACCTGACTGGACCTTTTGACTATGGAGTTATCTTGAACCTGCAACAGTGTTTGCTGTTTTTGTTTTATATTCTGTGGCTGAGTACAATCTTTATGTTTTATATTTTGGACTATTAAAACAGCCAGAAAGTAAGTGCTGTTTTAATTAAATTGTTTAACACAAACTAAGACTACTCCCGTGTATAAGACGACCCCGCGTATAAGACAATTTTCTTGCGTTAAAAAGTAGTCTTATGCACCAGAATATACGGTAGTTTGTCATCTCGCTCTGCTCTATGCATTGATATTCTGGCCTACTTTCCATTGATACATATAAACAGAATTTGTTTCCACCCTGTTAGACTTCGGTTAGCAGACTCAGAATCCTCCCAAACAAAGAAATGGACTGATGTGGAAAGAAAGAGAAGATGGAAGGAACACATTTCTGGAAGTTACCTGTTAAGCATCAGCAATGTTGCCATGCAGGCATCCCAGTTAGTTAAAGTGTTCGCTAACTGTCTTGTTTGGATGTAGTTTCCAGGAGTCAAGACTTCAGGTAAGAAAAAGCAGTAATGTCATACTCTGTTATTTAAAATCAAAGAATCCTTTGCAAAATGTGATAACTGTCTTGCCTCCTAGAATTTTCTTGCCTCCTGGAAGCGACAGCTGAATTTCCTTGTAAGTTGCTCAGAACTAATGTTCAGTCTTAGAAGTAAATGCAACTGCTGTTATCACTTCCTCAACGCTGAGGTTAAGATCCAATTTTCAAGTTGCCAATGGAGGCGCAGCAGAGCAGCAGGAGTAACGCAACGTCAATCAGCAAAAGGTGTTGTCTTAGCTCTGGACCAAACTGGATAAGGAGGACAAGCTACCCTCGTGCCCCTGTGATCCATTCATGTCAAAGCTGAGATTCCTGGGCAGAGCTGGCATTCAAATGGGAGAGCTGGCATTCAAATTTATCTGTAAATGAAATAACAGGAGGCCTTCACATAGCTGCCAAGGGAGGCTTTAAAAAAAACAGCTTCTAATAATATGCATACACACTATGATTGCATGTCAAGATAAGTCATGATCTAGGTTTTCATGATTAACCTCTACAAAGAAGTCAGCTTCAACACACTACCTGAAGTTTTGATTTGTTGTTTTATTTAAACCATGGTTTTGTAGAGTTGAACTTACAACCATGAAACAAGCAATGACAAAAGCAGCCGGAAAGAAACCAGAAATAAGGGGGGATTTCTTATTTCACCTATATACACATGCAACAGGAGGCCTGGTGTCTGAGAGGTCCCCTCTATCTTGTGGGGTTCCTCAGGGGGCCATTCTCTCCCCTCTGTTGTTTTAACATCTATATGCGACCAGTTGCTCAGCTGGTTCGAGATTTTGGGCTTGAGTGTTACCAGTACGCTGATGACACTCAGCTGGTGCTGAAGATGGAAGGCCGGCCGGACTCTGTACCCGATTATTTCCATCAGTGCCTCGAGGCCGTTACTGGATGGCTGCGTGCCAGCAGGTTGAGGGTGAATCCAGCAAAGACGGAGATCCTATGGCTGGGTCAACCGGGCAGTGGGGATATCCAGCTGCCTACCCTGGATGGCGAGGCGCTACGCCCGTCATCATTGGTAAAGAGTCTGGGAGTCCTTTTGGACCCTCTGCTGACGATGGAGGCCCAGGTCTCCACCGTTAGCAGAACCGCCTTTTTTCATCTGCGGCAAGCTAGACGGCTGACCCCCTTGTGTGTAACAGCAACCAGATGCAGAGCCTTCACAGCAGTGGCACCATCGCTCTGGAATACTCTGCCACCTGAAGTCCGTGCCTTGTGGGACTTATCAGCTTTCCGCAGGGCATGTAAGACATATCTGTTTCGACAGGCCTTTGACTTTTAATATTGCTGTTTTTAAATTGTTTTAAATTGTTTTTTAATTGTGTTAGATTTTAGCCTGTTCTTGTAAGCCGCTCCGAGCCCCAGGAGTGGCAGCATATAAGTTCGAATAATAAATAAATAAATAAAAGTCTAGAAATTTTAGTAACAAAATCAACCCCAAAAACTTTATTTTGCTCTTGCTCCAGAAATTAGAATACAAACTGGTGAACTCAAATTACAAGAAATGAGATTACAAGAGAAATAATTTTGTTAGGGTGTGCGTAGCTTAATGGTGGACTAAACAGCCTTGAAAGGCAGAGGGATCTCCTTTGGAGGTCTTTAAATAGAGGTAGGATTGACATCTATATAAATAAAAATGTAATGTTCGTTTGTGCTATTCACAGAACTCAGAAACCACTAGGGCAATTGACACCAAATTTGGACACTATGTCCCTAACAACCCAATGTATGTTCTCCACTAAAAAAAAAAACGAAAACCAAAAGCAGAAAGGACTTCTAAACTGCATGTCCACAAAGGAGAAACTGCATGTTTACCGAGACCCCTGGCCACACCCCCTCCTCCTCCACGGGGAAACAGCCGGCCGTTAAAGCCAGGCGCACGTGCATGGCCACACACACACACACAAGCAAGTGGAGTGGAGGTGGAGGCGCGCCGCATGCAGCCCCTTCTCTTTCCCTCCTATGTCAGGAGAGCAGTCTCCTCCTCCTCCTTTCCCTGTTGGGAAAGCAGCAGCAACGGAGCATCCATGCAAGGAAGAAGGGGGGGAGGAGGGGAGGAGGGGGAGGAGACGAGGAAGGTCCACGGTGCTTGAATGAAGGACCTTCCTTCTCTCCCTCCCTTCCCTTCTTTCCTCCCTTCCTTCCTTCCTTCCTTCCTTCCTTCCTTTCCTTTCCTTTTCTTTCTTCCTTCCTTTCCTTCTTTCCCTCCTTCCCTTCCTTCCTGCCCCTCCTTCCTTTTACCTTTCCTTCCTCCCTCCCTTTCCTCCTTCTTTCCCTTTCTTCATTTCCTTCCCCTTCATTTCCTTCCCTCCCTCCTTTCTTCACCCCCCCTTTCTTTCCCTCCTTCCTTCCTCCTTCCTTCCTTCTCCTCCCTCCCTTCATGTCTCTCCTTTTTTCTTTTCCTTCCTTCCTGTCCCTCCTTCCTTCCCTTTTCCTTCCTTCCTGTCCCTCCTTCCTTCTTCCTTTCCTTCTTTTCCTCCCTCCCTCCCTTTCCTCCTTCTTTCCCTTTCTTCATTTCCTTCCCCTTCATTTCCTTCCCTCCCTCCTTTCTTCATCCCCCTCCTTTCTTTCCCTCCTTCCTTCCTCCTCTCCTTCCTTCCTTCCTTCCTTCCTTCTCCTTCCTCCCTCCCTCCCTTCCTGTCCCTCCTTCTTTTTTCCCTTCCTTCCCTTCTTTCCCTCGCTCCCTTCCTTTTTCCTTCCTTCCTGTCCCTCCTTCCTTCTTCCTTTCCTTCTTTTCCTCCCTCCCCTCCCTTTCCTCCTTCTTTCCCTTTCTTCATTTCCTTCCCTCCCTCCTTTCTTCATCCCCCTCCTTTCTTTCCCTCCTTCCTTCCTCCTTCCTTCCTTCCTCCCTCCCTTCCTGTCCCTCCTTCTTTCTTTTCCTTCCTTCCTGTCCCTCCTTCCTTCTTCCTTTCCTTCTTTCTAAGATATAAATACAATATTAAATGGAAGGGACAGTCAAGAAGTAACGAGAGAAGGAGGGAAAAAGGGAAGGAAGGAGAGAAGCAGGGAGGGAAAGAAGGAAAGAAAGAAAGATAGAAAAGCAAGGAAGGAGAGAAGGAAATAAAAAAGTGAAAGGAAAAAGAGAGGGAAGGAAGGAGAGAAGGAACAAAAGATAGGGAAGAAGGAAGGAAGGAAGGAAGGAAGGAAGGAAGGAAGGAAGGAAGGAAGGAAGGAAGGAAGGAAGGATGTAACCAAAGAGCAAAGAAAGGGAGGAAAGAAACAGGTAGGGATGGAAGAAAGATGAGAGATAGGGAAAGAAAAAGAGGGAAGGAAGGAAAGAGGGAAGGAAGGAGAGAAAGAGGGAGGGGAGGTTGGCCACAGCAACACGTGGCGGGTACAGCTAGTCTCTAATAAGTGCTTTACCTGTGGATTTCTCCATGGCAGGACTAAGTGATCCTAAGCGACCCTCCCAACTTTGATTCTTTTTTTTTTTGTATTTTAAGTTTTTATTAGGTTTTGTCATAAGATGTTAGAGCATGTAACATCAAAAGAGTGAGAACATTTTTTTTGGGATAGGAAAGTTTGGATAAAGAAATATGCTCAATAAAATAAAAATAAAAATAAATTGACTTCCATCTAATCTTCGGTGGTTGTGAGAATGAGCTAATCAGCTTTCCTAAAGGTTTGAATATGAAGTGAATCAAAGCATCCCTGTGAATTAAACTTTATGATTCTTTGATTCTACAATTTGTTTTGGTTTTCCGATTCAATTTATTATTATTTATTGATTAACAACGTTTGTATCCCGCCCATATCAGCCCGTAGGCGACTCAGGGCAGCGTACAAGTCGGCAACAATTAGATGCCATACATAAAAATGCATACATCAATAAAAAGCAAAAATATCACAATACATTTAAAAACCATAAAAACAATGAATAATAAAAATTATAAAAACTATGTCTTCTTGTTCAAATCCTCAACCGTTCCATCGTCTTAGCCGTTCCTAGTTCATTTTCCAATTTGAGTTTTTCTGGTCATGCTGTGGTTCCAAACGCTTGCTCAAAGAGCCAAGTTTTCACTCTTTTTTGAAAGGTCAGGAGGGAGGGGGGCGATCTAATATCCCTAGGCAGGGAGTTCCACAGCCGAGGGGCCACCACAGAGAAGGCCCTGTCTCTCGTCCCCACCAAACGTGCTTGTGAAGCAGGTGGGATCGAGAGCGGGGCCTCCTCAGACAATCTCAAGTTCCTGGAGAGTTCATGGGGAGAGATGTGTCAGGATAGATAAGCTGGGCCGGAACCGTTTAGGGCTTTATAGGCTAAAGCCAGCACTTTGAATTGTGCCTGGTAGCAAATTGGCAGCTAGTTTCTACAATTTGTTGATGTATCTGCCATTCAATTTACAATGTAAGTATTAAACCATTGCTTGTCGTGATGTCAAATCTACATGCGAGAAATACTTCACAAAACAGGTAGAATCACAAACTGAAAGGGTGGTGGGGGGGGGAGTGCAAAAGTACCACTGGGAACTTCGATCTTTTAGAATCTAGTACCAATTTGTTCAGAGAAATTAGCTGTGAATATTATAGTCTGAAACTCAGTCAAGCAAGTAAGTGACAGGAACTGCCGCAGCGTTAACAACTACACATTTCCCTTTGTAAATCCCAGTTTCCCAACCAGTGTTTGCAGGAGCAGGCGATATGGAAGAACAACAACTGGGAAGAATCCCAACCAGGATTCTAAAACTTCCCCTGTTGTTCATTCGTTCAGTCGCTTCCGAATCTTTGTGACCTCATGGACCAGCCCACACCAGAGCTCCCTGTCGGCCATCACCACCCCCAGCTCCTTCAAGGTCAAGCCAGTCACTTCAGGATGCCATCCATCCATCTTGCCCTTGGTTGGCCCCTCTTCCTTTTTCCTTCCATTGTCTTCTCTAAGCTTTCCTGTCTACTCATTATGTGGCCAAAATACTTAATCTTTGCCTCTAATATCCTTCCCTCCAATGAGCAAGGACTTCCCCTACTGCTAGAAATGTTCTCAGAACGTTATTAAGCAGATTTTCCATGTGGATCGAAAACGAGAACCCCTAGGAATACTAGAGAAAAATGGCTGAAGGAGATCACTTGCAGAGAAAAGTAATCTGATGGGAAATCCGTAATGCTCACACCTGCCAGTTTTTTAAATTCTCCTTTCAAGGCTACTTTCCAGTCCAGATCTCTGTGTTGCTGGAAGAAAAGGGGCTAGAAGAAACTGTGAGCAGTGACCAAATGAGATAAGTTATAGTTAAGGGAGGCACTGCGCAAGGCTATTTGTTGTTATGGCCTTCAGTTTGACTCCAGTTCATGACAACTGTATGATAGGGATCTCTTTGCAAGATTTATTCAGAGGAGGTTTGCCACTGCCTTCCTCAGAGACATT